TCCCGTCACCCTGACCTGACCGTCGTGCCAGGAGATGCCGGTGGGAACGTGACATGGGGTTTGCTCGTGGATCTGGTCAGGGCTCTGCGAGGGTGCTGAGCCCCACAGCAGCCCTCAGGACCTCTCTAAAGACAGTTCATCCCAAAAAGAGACCCAGGGTGTGACATGAGCCATGGAGGACGTGCTCCCATGCCCCCATTCACTTCCCTCAGCAACCTCTTACAGCAAACCCACAGGTGCTCTGTGATCCCAAAAGCTCAGCTTGCCCCAGTCCTGCGTGAGCACAATTTGGGCTCCAAGCTGGGCACCCCACACCCCGCTCCCCGGCAGCTGGAGCAGGAGAGCACAGGCAGCACCGGCAGTGGGTGGCACAAAGCCAGCCAGCCCGGCTGCATCCCTCACCAAGGATCCCTGTGCCTGGGTGCTGGAGGAGAACACGTACCCAAACCTGCTTCCCAGCTTCCCCAGACACACCAGCCCTCGGGACGGGGTCGAACACACGAGGAGAGGAGGCAGCGACGGCTCCAAACCACCGCATCCCAGACTGACAGCGGGCAAGCCGCAGCAAGGCCCAGCGCCAGGAAAACGCCAGATAGCCATAAATCCCGCCGCTCCCCGCAGGGCTGCACCGCTGCCTTTGGGCTCGGAGGCTGCAACACATCGCTTGCTTTTCACAGCAGCCACAGCTCAGGGAGATGCGGAAGCGGCAGCGTGCAACCCCCTGGCTTGTCTCAGCGCTTCGGCCAGGCACGGTGCCCTGTGGAGACCCCACTACGAGGTCCCCAGGTACCCTGGGGCTCCGTGGACACACGGACACCTCCCAGCCAAGGGCACAAACAAGCGCTTGGGACAGCCAGCAAAGCCCAAGACACCACGAGCAGCGCAAACGTGTGCTCTGCAGAGACCATCCCCACGGCACTGCGCGGAGAGGGTGCCCAGCAGCTCTTCCTCTGTCTCGGCGCCTCGCTGACAAATGAACCTTGCTGCAGATTTCAGACTGGTATTCCCAGATAACAATTAGATAGGCCATAAGAAATTAGAGCTGACAGAGCTATTTGTTAGCTGCAATGTTTTCATAGCCAATCTGCCCATATCAAAGCCCCGTGAATTATTTATTCTGTTGTTTATTTAAGGATACGTGACCCACCAGTGACAGAGTGAAAAACAGCCCCTCGGCCCTGCGCTGACAACCCCACCGTGCCTCCTGCTCCCAGCACTGATGGCTCCCGCCTTGGCACACCTCCGCAGCGTGCTGCCAGCCCTGCTCGCGCCGAGCTCCTGTATTCCCCATGCGAGACGCATCGGAGACGGAGATGCAGCAGACGGGAGGCTCAGCTCTCCCTGCTCCCAGCACGTACAATCCTCAGAGACTCCTGCTGCGAGTCCCACGGGGGAGAAGGATGCTCAGTGCGGCGGAGAGCATATGGGAATGTTTCGGTTCAGATCCCAGGTGAGGTGCTCCCTGCATCCAGGCCTCCAAGACCAGCTGCAAGGGGAGTATCAGCCCTCTGTGGTGGCAGAGCCCTGGCCAGGAGCTGCGTGTGGCTGGAGGGAGAAAAGGTCGCACGCGCCAACGCTCCTGCAGCATCGCAGCTGGTGACACAGGTGTCAAGGGCAGTCAGGCATGGGGTGGCTCCCAGGGACAGTGCTGGCATGCTCCCAGTAAACCCTTACCCTGTGGAGCCCACCGATACCCCCAGCTTTGCACAGACACAATGAGGGGGACAGAGGGACCCACTGCCACGCTGGGGTAGGACCACAGGTCACAGATCGGCCGTAACAGCTGAGAGAAGCCACCTCCAGCACGGGCAGCGAGAGGGGCCTGACCGTGTAGCTGCCCTTCACAGGGCAGAAAGGTGGATGCAAGAGTCAATTACGCAGAGCGACAGCCTACTGAGAGACATCATGTGCAGAGCTATCGCCAACGAGAGCCATTACACGGAGCGACGTGGAGACGGAGGTCAGACAGAGATGCCAAGGGATATTAAATAGCCCAGGCTGGAACGACAGCAAGCGTGGGATTACAAAGACAATCACGACTTTCCATGGAAATGCTGTTTGGTCTCCAACCCACAGACGCTGGAACCCAGAAACTCTGTTCGTACACGAGGAATATTTGTATTTCCGTGGAGTTTTATTCAGATTTAGCCCAAATGGGATTTCTTTTCTCAAAGGACCATAGTAGCATTGGCTCCAACCATTTCTTCCTCCTGCAAGGCTCTGGTTTTGGAAACCCAAATGCAGAAGAGGCAAGCACCCCCTTTCCCAGGGTTTGCCGAGCCCCCAGAGTGTGCTGATATCAGGATCCTTCTCCAGGTGTTCAAGCAGGTTTCCGTGTGCCCCTGCCAGCATCTCACCCAGCAGCAGCACAAGCGTGTCTCCAGCATTATTTCCCCTGCCACCCACCCAGCAGATAATGCAAACAGGCCTGTGGAGGGATGGGATTGCCAGGAGCTATCCCAGTCTGAGGGAGGCAGGATGCGTCCTGTCTCAGCTATGGGGCTGCAGTGATGGAAAACTGCGCTCCTTGTGTGGGAATAAACTAACACGTGGGAATCTCCCCTGCCTGCAGGCAGGCGATGATGCTGTCCCCTCACTGGGAGGGGAGCAGGGTGGCCCCCAGCCTGTGAGATGCATCTCCTCCCACGCTGCCCTCACTCTGGGGGATGGGGCAGGAGGGAGCCGAGATGTCCCTTTGCCAAGGGGCAACACTGCCAGCGTTGCTTGTGCCCACGCAGGACAACACGGCCACAGCCCACCGATGAGTTCTGGGCTTCCCAGCACCATGTCAGTCCCCAACAGCCCCCCAAACCCCCAGGGAGCCACATTACCTTGTGTTTCCAGATTTTCACAGAGCTCTGATTTGGCCTCTCCGTTGGGGCGGAAACCTCCCTTCTGAGAGAACTTGTTGGACATGGTGGCTGCCGTCACCACCGCCTTGAGGCTCCGCTTCCGTTTGGGGACGTTCTGCTCCGGGTGGAAGAGGATGATGTACACCTTGGGCATGTAGAGCATGCCCAGGGACACCGAGGCACTCAGACTCACCGAGACGGTGAGCGTGTACACCTGCAAGACACAAGGGCACGAGCTGAGACCCACCACCGCCCTGTAGCATCCAGGAAGGGTCAGCTGGGAAAGGAGGAAACAGGGGAACGTGGAAATGTTGGGATTAAATAAATGAAGAGGAGCCCGGGCTGGAAATGCTGTCAGTCTTGGGTCTTGAACATTAGACTCAACTTGTTGCGTGGGCCAAGGTGCACCCTGAGAGACCTCCCACTCATTTTGCTCTTTCCCCACTTGCTAACGTGGGGAGGCTGTGCCGGTGCTCTGACACACATTTTGGGGCCCTGGCATAGCCTCCCTGTGCCAAGGACCCACCCAGCAGCAACCTGCCAGCACCCCAACTCAAAAGCATCACCAGAGACAGAGCCCCCACACCCTCTTCACCCTCCCTCTCTCCTCCACAGCCCCCACAACATACTCCACCAGCAGGAGCTCCGATGCTGCGGTGATGGGCACAAGGACACCCACTCCCAGGGTACCCCCCGGTCCCCCATCTCCTTTCAACAGGTAATTCCCATTCCCCAGCTGGCTCCCTGGGCCGTTGTCATGTAAGTCACATATTACACACCGACGTTGCCTTTCTGCAGTCAAAACTAATTTCACGCTCACTGTCCAGGACTAACAGTGACAGATGTTCTGCAAAATGAAAGCCCATTAATCTGACTGTAGAATAATCCATTTTTCTATGGAAAGCATTTGGCAGGCTCTTCACAAGCCGGGGGCATCTGAAGCAGGCAGACACGGGAGGCGAGGAGACACCCTCCCTCCGCCCATCCCCACCTCTCACCCCGAGCAAGACGGGAGGCCGGGTGGGCCAGCCCCTCCGTCAGCATCCCCACTCCAGCAGCATCCCTGCTCCAGCACAGGGCTCCGTCCCCTCCAGCATTCTCTCCTCCACGGCACAGCTCACTTGTTGGATCTCTCCAGGCCGAGCAGGGAGAGGGCTCCGGGTCTTCGGGTGCCTTGGCACAGGTCCCAGCATGCATGGAATCAGCTCTGACCCATGAGCGCAGGCTGGCAGAGGCAACAGCTCCCCGCCGGGGCTGCTGTCCCACCCCAGGGCCTGTGGGTCCCAGGCATGACCATGCAAAGAAAACACACACCTGGGCCCAAAGCGTTCCAACTTAACCCAAAGGAAGAAAAAGCAACAAAGATTGCTCTGAGTCAACCAAAAAGTTCTGTTTGTCCCCAGAATAAAACCTATTGCTGTCACATGTGCTGGTTTGTTTGTTCCACCTTCTCTCCCGATGCACGCAGAGTCAATCCAGGCAGTTTTTGGAAATAAAAATGTCATTTCATCAAGGAAAGTCAAAACATATCTCTGTGCCAGAATATCTGCTCTTTTTTTTTACCTTCCCTTTCTGGATATTTCCCTTGCTGAGACTCTCCAGACTTCACCACAGGCATCCTGGACTTGCCAGGAGCAAGGGCAGCACAGCGACGCCAACTCCAGGCATCCCAACCCCTGTCCCAGGGACCGGCACAATTCTGCTCGGCACCAGCATGACACCCCGTGGGTCACGGCTGAGGCTCTGCAGCCCTTCACCTCCCCACTCCCCACCCTCCTGCTCCTCAGCAGAAGCCATACGGAGGAGCCTCACTTTGCAATCCAGCAATTTCCATATTTCCTGCTTCTGCAGCAACTCCCACCCGTGCCTCGGGACTCGGAGGCATTTTGGTGAAGAGGGAGAGAGCAGCAGAGCTTGTGCTCGGGCAAAACCTCTCCACGCACGCTTCTCCCTGCGCCCTGGGTCAGGGCTCCAGCCCCCAGCACCTCGGGGGACTCCCCTCTGCTGAGAGCCCGGGCAGCCCCCATGGCACCAGCTCCAGGCTGCCCATGCTCCCCCCAACTCTTAGCTCTCCTCAAACCCCTGCAACACTTTCGGAGTTCTCCCAGGGCTGCCGTGGCTACCTTCACCCTAACGATGCATTTGGCAGACAGCCCCGTTCGCTGCAGCCCGCGCCAACCTCGACAGCGTTGCATCACGCCGCCGCAAACCCCTTCGCAGCTCAGAGAGAAGTGTTTTTAGCCCAGAGTCTAAACACAGCCACAAAGCACTGCACGGTTAACCTTTGGCCACACCAAAAACTGACCATTTCTCACGATTTTGGTTCCTACTCTCTTAATTGGTTCCCAACCCAGGCACCTGCTTTGCCCCTCGGTTAACGACACTTGAGCTTCCTCCGGAATCCTTTGAGATGTTCGCTGCACTTATAAAAGGATGACACTGAGGGACAGCAGCCACCCTAAATGACCCAGAACAAGTTCCTAAGCCAGTGCTTGCGCCCAGACTTATCCCAGGGCTGGATGAGCCTGTCCTGCCCTGGGGTGGAGCAGCCCAGGCTCAAGGCACAGCCCTGCAGTTCTTGTTTGTCCCAGAGCAAATCTCTGCCATTAATTGGCAACCCCCACCTCCAAATCCAGGCCTGACCCAGCTACAAGAGATTTTGCACTGCTGTGGGTGCCGGGGAAGGGAAAACCCGCTCAACCCTCATCCAGTGCTGTTAATCAAACCACTGGCCAGTTCCTTCTCATTCCTCCCTCTCTCCCTCTTTTCCCTCGCGGAAAGCAAATGTGATAAACAGAGAACCAGACAATGACACCACTGTTCAGCTGCTGCCTTATCAGCACAGGAAATTGTCTCTTTCTTTAGATCCTCTGTTATTGCTATTTCTGTAATCCGCTGGGATCGGCAGGGATAAGAGGTTCTTTTCAGAAAAGGCTTGGGGGACTTGTTATAATAATATGCCACCTCCATGCAAAGTTGTAGGCACGAGGTACAGTGAAATCAAATAAAAATGGAGATTTTTATCCACCTCCTCCAGACCACGAGGCGGCAGGCTCAGATGGGGTCGGGGCAGCATCTGGAGGTGTGAGTCTACCCCACGGCATCCTCAGGACTCGAGTGAAACTCCAGCCGTGCTCTATAGGAAGAATAATGGCCCAGCCAATGCTCCTGGCTTGACTCTTCCCAGGTGTGCTGACCCTCCACGGACCCCAGCGGGGCCTCGGTCTGTGCGGTGACCTGGGGATGCCCCGCCGAGCATTCCGGGGAGCACCAGCACCTCCCAGGGTGATGACAATACCCTCAGTGTCCATCCCAAGAACACGTTCAGAGCCAGATGTTCTGTGCAAGCCATGTAACAACACCTTTTTGACCTTTTTCTCCCCAGGACTGTAAAGCAGCAGCTAAAGCATCGAGGCAGCACCGAGCACCCAATTCCTCCAGGGTGTGGGGACTGCGACATCCCCTTTGAGCACATCCATCGCGCTTCAACCACAGCCTGGAGACGCTCGGAGCTCGTATCCCACGGCGGCACGGCCGAGCCGAAACACCACAAACCCCTTCTGGGCTTGCTCGGCGGACGCCACGGCAGCAGCAGGCTTTGAGAAAGAGAGCTGCGTCCAAGGGGAGTTGGGAACATCACTTTTTCCGCCTCTAATCAGCTTGTTAGCAGCCTAATAACAGAGGAGCCCTGCACATTACAAGCCCCCAAAGTGAGGCACAGCCTATTGTCGAATTGCTGCTTGACAGCCAGCTTTTGGCAGCCCTAAATTATCCCATGACAAGCTGCAGTGAAGAGGTGAGCAACCTTGCGCATAATCTACAATCATTATCATTTCCATCTTTATTACCCACAGTATGCCAAGCACATTAAGGAGGCTTTAAGGGAGCTTTTGTTTTGCAATAATTTCTTAAAAAACCTGCTTTCTTGTTAGTATCTCCCCTGCCATCTCATCAAAATGGAAATGCTGCAAAAGGCTCCATTTATTTCCTTTAATTCTCCTTCACACTTCCAGCCAGCGCGGGCTGGCTTGGTTGAGACTTTTGGGTTGAACAAAGGTTAAAAGTGCCTGTGCAGACCTGGCCTCCCCGAGCTCCAGGGATTGATGCTCTGAGCAGAGCCAGCTCTCCAGGACACATCTGGAACTCTGGTGTCCACAGCAAAAGGCCTCTCAGCAAACCACCCCTGGCCCTTTTGTCTTCCCAAAAGTGGTGTCAGCAGCTGAGCATCACGAGGGACACACTCAGGGAAATTATCCCAGTTGTGATGGGTCCGGAGAGGGAATCCGGGTGGAGGGTCACCCCAGGGACTTCCAGGGAATAGTAACACTGAGGATTACTTGTCACAGGCAGCTCTGGGCTGGCAGGCGTGAGCTATTTGCATTTAACATAAATGCGATTCTTGTTTTGGCTGGCAGGCAAAGGGGATTTGGGTCTCATTCATGAGATTTTTATTCTTTGTTCTCACTCCCTCTCACTTGAGCACGGAGCTTCATCCAGGCTGGCCTCAGTCCTGTGGGTACCGGCACCGGGACCACCCTCCAGGAGCTGAGGATGGGGAGGAGGACAGACCGGCAAGGGAAGGGACACGCTGAGGGGTTGCTCTGCTCCCTCTCCCTTGCCCTTGCCCTCCACTGCTTCCAGCTCTCAGGGATTTCAGGGATTAGCCTCCATCACTGACTCAGCACCAGGAAAAGGTACTGGCTGGGCAGCGCTTGGTCCCTTTTCCATGCAGAAATGGTGCTGATGACATCAGGGACCTGGATTTTCCCTGGGGCCTCATCCTCCCCCAGCCCACATAGCAGCAGCCTGTGCTGCCCACTGCTAACCTGTCTGGAGAGGGCACAGAAAACCAGAGGGAGAGGGATGAAATGAAAGAGGAAAGCCTGTGCTCCCCAGCAGAGCAAGGGATTTGCAAACCAGCTCTTCCCACCACGATTCCCAAGCTGGCAGGACGGCAGAGGAGCACCTCTCCTTCATTAGGACATGTCAGCCTCTCTCAGCCCCCTTCCTTGCAGCCCACAGGGCCACCAGCCAGACTTCTCCCCTTCTCCCTTACCTTTTCTGCCGACTGCGACGTCCCAAAAAATATAGGGATGAAGGCTAACCACACAATGCAAGTAGTGTACATGGTGAACCCAATGGGTTTGGCTTCGTTAAAGGTCTCCGGGACCCCGCGGGTCTTAATAGCATAGACAGTGCAGGTGACCATGAGAAGCATGCTGTACCCGAGCAAACAGATGAGGGAGAGGTCCGAAATGTCACATTTGAGGATGCCCCGGGCAAAGTGGGGGTTTGTAGTCCGCTGGTCCTCGTAGTCAATGACAGAGTGGGACGGGTCCACGATGAACCAGACGCAGACGCCCACGAGCTGCAGCGAGATGAGGCTGAAGGTGATGACGAGCTGGGAGGCAGGGCTGATGAACCGCGGGGCACTCACCGACTTCTTGCCCTGCTCGAAGATGCGGTAGATGCGGTTGGTCTTGGTGAGCAGGGCGGCGTAGCTGATGCTCATGCCGAGCCCGAGGAAGATGCGTCGCAAGGAGCACGTGCTCAAGTCAGGCTCGGCGATCATGAGGAAGGTGGTAGCGTAGCAGAGGAAGATGCCCGTCAGCAGGACATAGCTCAGCTCCCGCCCTGACGCCTTGACGATGGGCGTATCATTGTAGCGCACGAAGGTGACCACCACAAAGAGGGTGGCGATGATGCCCACGATGGCGATGAAGACAGGCACCACAGCCCAGGGCGAGCTCCACTCCAGCTTGATGATGGGGATGGGGGTGCAGCTGGTGTGGTTCTCGTTGGGCCGCTCGTTGAAGTGGCACCTCTTGCAGTGGAACTCGTCCAGCTGGTACTGGTAGCCGTCGCAGCGCTCGCAGTGCCAGCAGCAGGGAATGCCCTTCACCAACTTCTTCCTCTCGCCTGGCTTGCAGGGCAGGCTGCAGATGGAGCTGGGGAGCTGGCTCCCGCCCCCTGGCCACAGCATGCTCTCCACCTGTGGGGCGAGATGGCACCAGCCCCACTGATGCTTGGGCATCAGTCAAGCAACCCTGGGGCACAGGGGGATGCCCTGCCTCTGCTCGCAGCAGTGCTGCCCGGATCCAGCCCCTCATCCCACCCAATGAAGGACCCCAGCCCTGCCTAGCGTGGAGACAGGGAGGCGGTCAAGCTCTCCATCGGCCTTTTGGAAAGGTTCAACACCAGAAACCCCAAACTTCCCTGGGAAGTATGCCTCCTTCCCTGGGAAAACACCCTCTGCTCCGTTCTGCCTTCCCCTTCCCTTGTCAGGGCTGCCAAGTCGGATGCCCAGAGCACGTGGGATACAGTCACACGTGGGATACAGTCACAGGCGCTGACGGTGGGTCGCTGTGGCTGAAGCCCAAGTGTAGACTCAGGGGCCACCCTCCCCTCTGACCCCTCCCAAGTTCAGCTGCCTAACATTGTACCCAGGGGTTCCCTGCCTTCCAGGCGGGTTTGCTACACCCTACGTGGCTTTGATGGGCACAGGAGAAACCTGCAGGACCTTCCCCTTGGCATGGACGTGCATGGCCACACCGCAGGCACCAGCCAGCCCCTGGCCTTACTTTTAGGTGGAGGTGGTCAGTCCATTGCCCGATGACTTTGTACTCGGGAGTGGAGTTCCTGATCTGGTACTGGTAGATGTCGTAACGCCCCGGCGCATCCCCATTCTCGTTGAACGTCACGGGAGTCCCAGCAATGCCTGTAAAAGAGGGAGGGCTCAGCACCCGCAGCACCCAGCAGCACGGGGTGCCCTGGGTGATGGTGTTGAAGGGGGCTCTGGTGTGATGCTGGCTGCAGCACCCCGAATCCTGGGTCCAGTTTTGGGGCCCTCATTACAAAACAGACACTAACGGCATGTCCAGAGAAGGGAACGGAGCTGGGGAAGGGTCTGGAGCACAACTCCTCTGGGGAGCAGCTGAGGGAGCTGGGGGGGTTCAGCCTGGAGAGGAGGAGGCTCAGGGGAGACCTGATCGCTCCA